GGAGGAGGAGGAGGAGGGCGAGAACGGGGGGAGAGGCGAAAAAGAGAGAAAGAGGGAAGAAGGTCGAAGCCGGCTCGATCGCGCCTCGGCGCGTCCGAGGGAAGAGGATCGGTGCAGAACCGGGGTGTGCGGGGGCGAGACTGCGAGGGGGGAGGGAGAGGGGTTGAAAGAGGTATATTGTTTGCCGAGCGAAGCCGATAATTCAGTAATGAACGTAAGCAACGCGCGCTCGCGTTCAGGGCTATAATTACCGATACCACGTCGGATAGCGGATCCCTTAACTTCGGATCCCGAAGCGCTACGAAGAAGCGCGTCCGTGCGCGAGCGGATATATTTCCCCGAGCTCTCTTCTCTTACTCTCACTCTTTCTCTCTCCTCTTCCTGCCCTTTCCTGGCCGCGTCTTAGAATGGGCAGCTCTAAATTAATAAATCAATAGCCGGGCTCTTATCCGATCCGCGAGTGGGTGGAGTTTGTTTGTTTAAGAGCAGGATTTATTAATTTTTCACTGGGTGGTAAATCCCCACCGGTACACCTCTCCACCTCCTCTCGCTTTCGAGCGGACCCTCTCTTCCTTCCGTGTTCTTTATACGCGCGGATCGACTATTATGCGCTTCGGAAATTTGATACGAGATGATCTGCGAGAGGAATGTCGATTTTTCATCGGTACGCGATCAAAGAGCAATTCCTCGCCAACGCGTGCGAGATCGTGACTGCTTATTGAGCACCGCGCGCAACTATCGCGTAATTTCTTTTCACACGAAGTGAAATTTCTTCCGAGAGAAAAGACGATTTCAAAGCTTAAGGTACGCGTGAACAGTGCATCTACTGCCATCTCTTTATCCCGACTCGAACCTGTGCACGAACACATTGAAAAGTTCACGTATGAACAGCATCCTTAATGCCGTGTGGATTTCCGGCAGGAAATGCGGCTCGATCAACTAATTATTCATAAGCGAAACTATCATGGATTTCAAATACTCCTGTGTTTTAATAGCAGCATTTGACACGACCGATCCAAAGAATCAAAATAAAAGTTACTAATAGAAAAAAATAACATACACTTAATACTGTAAAATTAAAATACAATTGGCATAACATTTTATCAAAAAATATATTTTTACTCATTATTCCTTCAATCATCCAACACAAGCAAAAGGGAAAAGACAGTAAAGACACATGGGCGATTAAAGAGATGTTCATCTACGTAAGAGGCCGATTGGATAACCAGTTCCGCGGATTAGAATCGATCCATCAATTTTGGTGCTTCGGGTGAGTGCGTCGAATAATTCGAATTCGATCGGCGGCACGATAAATCGAGCGGCTCACCGAAGTCATGCGATTCAAGCCGACGAGGAAAGTATATATATTCGCGCTGCTCTTTCTCCCTCGCGAGGACCGTAATGGTATTTGAATCGCAATTCCTCCCGTTCCGCTCGAATTCTCGCAATTCTTCTCGCCGTTCTCCATACGATATTCCTCGCAAAGTAAGTTATTAAGATCCTCATCTACCACGGTTTAAGCGAACCCGTGCTTGCATCTCTCTGCCTTCGATAAATCTCAATCTTTTTCCGCATTCGTTTTCACCTTTAAATTCCAGTCTCTCAAGTATGTCTATCAAGCTGGCGCAGTTATTTAGCAATTATTTACGAATAAAATATACACGGAAATTTAATGTTTCT